TACAGACTCTCTTTGCTTTGTAGAGCAAAGGCTGAAAGTAAAGTCTAGAAGTAATGTGGCCAGTTTACAGTTAAACCTCATTTATCTCTTGGGTGTCTTTGCATTGTCATTGTATACAATACTTTTAGAATTGCTTTGGCATGCCCATGGAGTTGCACCAGGGAAATTTTTTTCATGGAGACTTGCTTAGGAAATGTTTATATCTCATGTTTTACCGAGTAGCACAGACATGAAACACAGTGTCTATAAAATAAAGTACTCAACCTGTCAGACACCAATATCTGGTTCTGATAGACAGAGTATTCAGTGAAGGTGAAACGCAGCATGAAACAACATGAGCTGAGTATATTTCTCTGGACAAGAGAAAAGAGCCCAAAGTTGGTGAATGGTGAAATCTAATTTGTTCAGCTACATATAAGCATGAGAGCCTTTTGGCCAGAAGATTGGTGGTGCAAGCCCTCCTAAACTATAAGCAGATGGTCACTTTTTCAGGATTTGTGAGGTTTTGCATTGCAACCTTTTGTTGGGATCTGTATTTTTATTTCTGTATTATCACAGAATCACAGGGTGGTTGAGGTTGGAATGGACCTTGAGATCATCTGGTCCAACTCCCCCTGCTCTAGCAGGACCACCTGGAACCGGTTGCCCAGGACCATGTCCAGACAGCTTTTGAATATTTGCAAGGTGGGAGGCTCCACAACCTCTCTGGGCAACCTGTCCTGGTGCTCAGTCACCCTCACAGTAAAAAAGTATTTGCATATGTTCAGAAGGAACGTCCTGTGTTTCCATTTGTGGCCATTGCCTCTGGTCCTGTCACTGGGCACCAAGGAAAAGAGTCTGGCTCCATCTTGTTTGCACCCTGCTTTCAGGTATTTATAGATATTAAGAAGATCCTCCCTGAGCCTTCTCTTCTCTAGGCTAAACAGGCTCTCTCAGCCTTTCCTCATACGTCAGATGCTCCAGTCCCTTAATCGTCTTCGTGGCCCTTTGCTGGTCTCTCTCCAGTATGTCCATGTCTCTCTTGTACTGGGGAACCCAGAACAGGACCCAGCATTGCAGGTGTGGCCTCACCAGTGCTGAGCAGAGGGGAAGGATCCCCTCCCTCGAGGGAGGCTGGCAATGCTGTTCCTCATGCAGCCCAGGAATCATATGCATCTTTATGTTGGACTGCCATATAAAAAGGTAGATAGATTTATCCTGTGAAAATAAGTCACAATGCAGACTCATAACTAATATCCATTTAATAGTGCAGCTGCACATTTTGTACCTCGGGGACTAAGGTACATGCTTATTGACTCCAATCGGAGTTTATTTTAACAGAACAGGGTAGTAATATGGTGCCTTCAACTCATCTTCATATCTGTAGGCTAAGGGCATTCCGGTCCTACATTAGACGTGAAAGGGGTTTTCCTGGATTCAGTGGGCACCATTCCAGAGGCAGCGGATAACAGTCTAGCCCCAAGGCCTGGAGAAGGAGTGGTCAAACAAGATGGACACCTCCAGATTCCCTGTAACATTTCTCTCCCCCCTTCTCCTTCAAAAATCAAAGAAGCAACAGACAACAAAAATAGGAAATTATGGGGACACAACAACATCTGAGACTTCTTGAGCAAATAGGGAAATTATATGTGCACTGTAAGTTATAAGTTAAATTATAGGTGCACTGTAAGTATTTTAGTCCCATCTTCTTCCCTACTCAAATGTGTGTATTGTAAGAGTGATGGTGTTGGGGCCCTCAGAGCGTGGATTTTGTAGCAAGCAAAGTCAGGGAAGACTGAGAGCATCAAGGAACCATACAAAAGGCAAGTGTATCCCCGTGGATAGCCTCTTCCTCTGTTGGAATATCCCTCTTTCCTGAGACGCACATACACACAGATTTTTAGGAGTCTCCGAAGTCAGGGGACAGGCTCACATCTTCTGCCACAGCAGACAAATCCAGCTCCATGCCTTTCCTGAGGAAAAATGAAAGAATTCTACAAAATTAGACTCTCGGAGTTTAACCAGTCTTACACAGATTATCATCACAGAAAGCAGAATATATCCCCAAGTAAGGACTTCTGGATTCAGCTTGCATAAATTCACCTCAGGGAGTGGAGTGGGTGAGTGAGTAAAGTGAAAGATACCAAGAGCAAAGGTGAAATTTTACATTTCTGTGGCTGCAGAGTATGCTCCCAGTTCAGCGATAAAGAGACCTGATGTCCACCTTTAAGAGTAGAATTAAAAGAACAATCAGCTTGAGGTGAAAGTTTTTATGTGTACTGGACTTGAGGTGCTGGCAAGTCCTCACTAGAGAGTAACGTGCCAAAATGTGAGATGAGATCTTCATACGGCTGCTGATTAAGTGGATCTGCTTCCCCAATCATCCGTCCAATATTCCAATTGAACCTCCAGCCAAAATTCATGAGGCAAATTTCATTACATTAGTGGTGCCTAGCCTGGAGTTGGCATTCTCTTGTAGTCATGATGGTGGGATGGATAGGAGACTGAAAGATGAATTAATAACACTTCATTATGATGAAATATCAAAGTATGTTGGAAGGTCACCTTGTGTTGTATAATTATATATTAAAAAGAATTTAAATTCTTGCTTCAATGCCTAGTGAATCTGAGACAGCAGCAGTGATGGGAAAAACCTCCCTTAAAAATCCCGAGAATCGTACTTGTTTTGGCATGACACTGCCTAAGGTGATTTGAGAACAAGGCTGACTTTGCCAAGCTTTCACATTAACGCAAGGTTCAGCATACATTTTAAAACATTAAATCAGCTTTCCCTTTGCATGGATAGGATTATTTGATTGTGTAGATTTTGTTAGTTTAAAGGGCCCAAATATTCTAATGCTGGAGCCAAAATTAAATACTCAAAGTTACTGTATGTTAATAACTTTAAGCAGTCATTCAAAAAAATGTCTAAGGTTGTCATATGGTCTGGCTTTGGAAGACACGGAGTGTGTGCTGCCACAAGCAATACTAGGATTGTAGCTACTGACCACTTCGAAAATCAGGCTCAAAACTTACAGCAGAAGTAGATGCTCCTGTCTGAGTGAAATTAAGCTTTGGTTTCTTGTAGAAGCCAGTATTGCTGGATACCTTAAAGCTTAAAAAAATACAGAAACCTCTACATATGAGTTGAAATGGTCTTGTTAAAGAAGCTGCAGTTAGTATATGTCATGTATATCTGGGAAGCAGTGCATGCCATTATTTGTGATTTATTCAGAGTCAAAATAAATAAAGCCCTTTATGGACAATTAACAGGCTACCGCATTTTACCCCGTGAGTTTCAATCGAATGTCGTGTGGTTTCAAATCAGACTTGACTAAAGTGTTCTCTCAACATCCCTGCACAAAGCAGTTTGCAGTGTAAGTTGATACTGAATGGCAGCAAACATGAAGGAGACAAAATGCATGTTTAGTTCATCGAAGATGGTCAGCATGTCTTCCAGTTATTGCTCTGCTCTTTGTCCTGGTGGCATGGATTTCTGCAGATATTATAATGTCTAACTGAGAAATGTCACAGTGCTCAGGGTCTACTGTGTTTGGTGTGGACCTCCAAGATAGGCAGTGACATGGAGCTCTACTGTTTATGTGCAAGTGTAAAGATGTAAAGCGCCATTTTTCAGAATTAACTCATGGTTAGCAAAAGGAGATCCAGATCCTACACCTGCCTCTGCATCTGGGCAATGAGAGGGGAAGGGCCATAGCTGAGTGCTCCTTGTTCTCCCAGTGTAGATGGGAGACATCTTCTCCTGTGAAGAGCAACAGTGAAATGACGTCTTTGGCTATCACTGCTGTTAAGGTCCTGTATCTGACAGTAGAAAAGGAGTATGCAGAGAGAGGCAGGAGAACTGATGAATATGCATTTTTTGTCAAGTCACCAGGTCTCAGCTGAACAGTTTTGGAAACTGTAGCCATAAGTTTACAGCACGCACTGTACTTCAAGAGCTGTGCTCCAGAAGAGAGGGGCAGCCTGGCTATCAGTCGACCCAAGTTAGTATCTCAGTTTGCAGCATCTCTGAATTGCGTTTCTTGGAGTAACTTACCATTTGTTGAACTAAAATTGTACCAAACATCTTGGGCCTGATCTCCACAGAGATTAGAGTCGTTCTTGGCTAGATTCTTAGTCATCCATCAGTTGGAATGTCTTGGGAATTTAAACATAAAATTGCACTGTTGATCACACCTTACTGAATTCAACACAAAGACGGCAATACAGCCATACAGCAATACAAATCTGAATTTCATATTTTACTTAGGCACTATGGGGTGATAATATTTTACAAATGATGAGTGAAAATATTTTAATTTGCACTTTGAAAAGAAAAAGTGTATACCACTCTCTGAAAGTATTTTGTCGCTTTTTTTTCTGAAAGCCTTTGGACATTCAGCCTATTAATTTGTTTCTTTCCTAAACATATCTTTATTTATGCAGCAGAAGTATTCCTCTCCTTCAAGGTAAATTCTGTACTGTTTCACACCCCATTCTTTCCAGACCTTCAAAAATCCATCATCATTTACTTGACCCCTTAAACCTAGGAGCACATTTGCAATATACAATATACAAGAAATTTCATTTTGAATTTATAACCATAATAATTAATCTCTATTTTTGTTATGTTTTAATGAATTGCATGACATTCACTCAGTTTTTGTCTCTCTAAACAGCTATTTAAGTATGTTCTTTATACTGAAAACTATTTTGTTGATGACAATTCATAGGATAGTATTGGTTGAGAGAGGGAAAGTTATTTCATTCATGTTAAAGGATGCAATTAAATTTTCAAAAGTAGCATATTCAGATATATGTCTTATCTGTCGTTTTTTTGTGAGTTTTAGTAGAAACTTGAAAGGTGCACTCACAGACTGGCTAAAACATGGAGGCGGAAGAAGTGAGGTCTCAAAAAAAATAACACGTTTTCACCCTATGTTGGCAGCTGTCAATGACAAATATGAATTCACATTAATTAAAGCAAGTCACATCCTAAAAATATTTTTTTATTCTTTCAGACCACTCTTCCGTGGAAATTCAGATGTTGATCAGCTAGGAAAAATCTTTGAGTAAGTAATAATTTGTTGCATTATGTCAATGTCTGTTTAACACTGAAACACTGTGAGGTTTCTTTGCTGTGCTTTTTATGCAGTAATGTAGCCAGAACAAAGTATTCCTAGAACATATTTCCTATTGCTACCGTATGCAACATGATATTTCCGTGTATTCTGTGTCAGAGTGGGAGGAGGAAGCAACATGGAATATAGTTCTGCAGAACTAACAGTCATCATCAGGAAGTTATGAGAGACTTCTGTTTCGGGCTTTGTAAATCTCTTAAACATATTGTGCATGTACCATACATGCACATTCCTGAACAGTTAGATCCAAGAGATTCTCTTCATGTAAACTCACACAGAGGTTTCATTTGACAGTAATTTCTTTGTGTATTGCAGAAAACAATATTAGAATATTTTAGAATTGTTAGCAAACTGAAATCTCTAAGATGACTACCAACAGCTTCTTTGCAGAAAAGACTTCTGTACATAAGAAAATATTTTAGCTTTTAAAATACACTGTGTCGCCTGCTAAAATGATTAACAGTCCACATTTTGGTTGGGAAGATAATTGTGAGAACAGAAGGAATATCAGCATTTTAAGATGTGTTTTGTCAGAGATGAACTAATTGGCTTTATTTTAAAACCATTTTACAATTCTAGGAGTTTGTGCTTTTCTTCTTCAGATATATCAAATACTTTGAGGAGGTGGGGGAGCTCTAAACTCTCTGAGGTAGAATAATTCTCTTCCAAAACATGTTCTTAGTTATAAAACAGAAAACTAAATTATTGATGTTACCAACCTGATAATTAAGTAGGATTGTATCACTTTTTCTTGTAAAAGCTCTTCAGAGCAAGGAATGTTTCCAAATTATAAGAACTATGTAAATTTAAGATCTGATGTACGTATCATGTGGTTAGGAAATCAAAGCCGCATAGGGCTGGTCCCACTCCAGAGGATGAATGCTTGTTTGCCTCTGCACCTCTGCCTTCCCTTTTCGCATGGAGGGGCCGCAGGGATCCAGGGATCTAGGTGAAATAAGAACTAGACAGGCAAAGAAACCAAGAGAGAGAGAAGGCTGAAATATTATTCTCTTGAAGATATTCCAAAGAGAAGATAGTAAAATTTCTAGGAAGAAGAGCTTAAACAGAACAAATAATGAATTTCTCTGTTTAACTATTTTTCCAGTTCTCAAATCATAACAGATCTGTTCCTAAGCATTTTCATTATTTAATATTAGGTTCATAAATTGCAGGTCTTGATTTCACACAGTTGACTTCCCTTTCCTGCATACCATACCAGTGTATGTGACTCACTTGCGTGGTTAATTTGTCATGCGCTGAATAACTCTTCCTGCCCAGTCCAGAAAAATCAGTCCTTAAAGTTCACTTTTTCTTCTTCTGCCAGAGCTGCTCCTTTAGTCCTACAATATTCTGCTTTATTAATGAAGACAGTTTTGATACATACAACATATTTTATAATTTAAAAAGACATAGCTGTGATTTTTTTTTACGGATTTTGATTTATTTATGACATTTAAGAGGAAAAATCAAAATGAACTGGACTAGGATTAAACGCATAGCTGCTAGCAGCAGCCTCCGATGGGGATCTTTCATCCCTAGGGGCTGAGATTACCTGTGCAGAAAAGAATTCATCAAGAAGAGAAAAAGCTGCACTAATTTTAGAAGAAATTCCTTATTACACATCTACTTAAAGAGAAAGTTTGGTTTTGCTTCTTTTGTGCAGTTCTCCTTAAATAGTTCAAAAGTTTCTTTCTTGGGTTCTGGGGGGGTTATATTAAAGAGTGTTTATTTTGTGTTTTCACAGCTGGAGAATGCCCTACAGTTAGGCATAGCTCTTCTTGTAGGAGGGTTGTTTCTTTCTACAGTAGTGACTCATTCTTCAGACTAATTTGAACAGAAAGTAGTTTCAGCATTTTCATGCAATCTGGACTGATGCATTCTTTCAGATAATGGGTCTGTGGTCTACCTGTGCTTTACATGTGTGTTCTGATTTGCGTCAGGTAAAATTCCACCGCGTTTGAGGGCAAATCCCTCGGAGGTGGCCCAAAACAATTTCCTGCTTTTCCAGGACACCATCAGCGTGTGGGATATTTTTATAGATCTCAGGCTAAACAGCGCAGTGGTTTGAGCAGACTTGTCTCCCATTGTGATCAATGGGAGTGGAGAGTACTCAGCGTTTCTCAAGACCAGGCGTGAACCTTTGGCAGGAGGTGAAACTCATCCAAGATGCTCCCAAACTTAGTCACTGAAATGGTAGTGCTACCAGACCAGAGTGAGGGCATCTCCTCAAGACATTAATTATTATGAGTTTTGAGTGCAACCTGAGTGTGTAACTAAAAATATCTCTCCTTTCCTCTCTTGGTCTTGTCCACCCTACCTGTCTGACAGGCTGCCTTCTTGTTTTCTTTTGTTAGCTTTGCCTGTGCCTGTGCTTATCCTGCCCTGTTCATGCTCTCTCATGCAAGCGTTAAAATCTGGGACTAACCAAACACATTTGAATGGCAGGTTAAACTTTATTGTTACTGAAAATATTTAACTCCCCTGTCTTACTACGGTGCTATTTGTATTACATTTAATACGGGTCCAGATCCTCAAACAGCTTATCACATGGCTTTAACCACTGAGGCCAAGGGAGTTGCCCCATACCCCCACCGTATGTGTGGTGATAAAATTAAAATTCAATTTTTCATACAAATTTAACTTATCATTTCCCAAGAGCTGTGATATCTTCAGGTGTAGTAAAATTCACATTGTCCTGAGATTTTAATTACTTTGCCCTTCTAGCCATGCTGTTGTTCCGAGGACTTATTAATTTTCAGATGTATCTTAACTGAGCCAAATTACAATCTAAAATCCATGTAGGTAGATGTGGAGTAATTTCACGAAGTTCACCCAGGTAACCTATTATTTACATCAAAGTGTTTGGCCCATGGCCTCACCCAGTCTTACTACCACCCTCTTTAAGAAGAAAGGTCAATGCTGCTCCCTAGTGGCATTTGACTTAGTGCAGACCCAAGTACTCGGTGAAGTTTTTTCATGTTCCTTCTTGTCTTACCCTGTCAGCGCTTCCATTAAAAATCTCGATTTTACAGGCTGTAAAAATTTATTTTCCCTGAAACATGACAAATAATGTATGGTCTTTTCCAGAATTTACGTCAGAAAATAGCATTTTAGCCCTGCAAATATTAGCATCAGCCTAAAACATGAAATGTACGAGACATCCAATACTGGAGGTTTACCTACTATTTCATTTATTTGGGTTTTAAAACCTTAGCATGATTATATAATAAGTATAATATCTTCTAGAATTTAAATAATAAAGACATAAATTATAAAAAGTAATTAAAATAGTCTATCAAAGGGTAAAGAAAAACTGAAATACAATTGAAAGTAAAAACATAAAGATATTCAAGTCCTATGGCACTGCTGAATTGAGACTTTAAAACCTGTATTGTGAAGCAAATAGATTGTTTAAATTTGGGCAACAATTACTGCACATAGCTTTGAAGCATTATGAAACATCCCTTTTATTGCCTTACCCTCATCTTGACCCACACTCTTCTCTCAATCCCTATTCTTGTGAATAAAGATCCTTGCATGCAATTCCCCTTTGAAACTTACTGCTTTTAATCATCCTGGAGCGACATATGTTGCACCATCCAGTCAAGAAGTGAGCAACTTCCTTTCAAAGCACTCAGCCCTTTTTCAACAAAAATACTCAGAAAACTGAGACCTAGGCCAGAAAATTGTGCCGGACACAGAATGATTTCTACCAAGCACACTGAGGACCTATGCTCATCACCCTCTGTTCACAAAGATCAGTGCACTACTGTACAATTAATCTCATTTAAATGAAAAGGCTTAACTCATAAACTGCCACTCGGTATAATCTATATAAAGGGAAGACTGCACAGACGTTCAGACCTAACATGATGTGTTTCCTTTCACAGTGTAATTGGACTCCCAGAAGAAGAGGACTGGCCTAATGATGTTGCCCTTCCAAGAAATGCTTTCACTTCCAGACCCGCACAACCTATTGAAAAATTTGTACCAGATATTGATGAACTGGGCAAAGACTTGCTTCTTGTGAGTTTCTAGTTGTTCTCCCAGCCGCATGACTGATAGTTCCCACTGTGCATGCAACATGCCAAGAAACAGTTACGTTTCCATTCAATTGAGTTATTAAAGAATAGCTGAAAAGTAGGTAGACAAACTCATGTAAATCTGTGAAACATGAGCCCAGAGACACTTCCTTTGGCTCAAGAGGTGTCAGAGCTGAGAATAGTTAGGAAAGCGTCAGGGAAGTACCTGTTTGACCTGTCTTTAGACTTTATGCTTAGATCCTCATGGCTGACCACTGTGGTGCCACTGATTCAGCCATTCTTATAGTATAAGCCTCACATGAGTACAAAAACTGATCTACCATTTTTCATGGTATAGTGGACCCAGTATAAAGCAGAAAATAGGCTGTAGAGGCAGATTACATCTGCATGCCTTTTATTGAATGCTGAAAACTTGAGATTTGGAGTTTGCCTGGTAACACTGAATCTAATTAAATTATTTCCATCGTCTTTATAGATATGCTATAAACCCCAGCCCTGAAGTTCAGTCTTGGAATATAGTAGAAGGAATGGCCTTGCCTCAGAGTCTGCCTTTTGCCATGCATTTTGAAATCTAGCTAAATTTATTCTCTGGAAGCGTTTAAAAGATCTTGGTTCACATGTGCTCGGTAGAGTGGACCTAGTGCAACTCTTGAAAGACTTGCTGCATCCCTTAAGGAACTGCCAGAGTTATCTCTACAAAACAGCAAATTGTCCTCTATTGTCCTTATGACTGCAGCTCCCAGCTGTGGTAAGCTGCACTACATCTGGACACTTGAAATGACAGGGGAGAAACGCATCTGTTGTGCTTGCAGGCAGCCTGGAAAAAGAAGCTAAACGTGAGACAAGAATTAGATTCTGGGAACAACGAGGAATAAAATATGGCAGACAGCTCAGTGAGTGTGAGGCATGATGGGAGGAAGGAAGAAGACCAATATCTATGCCTAGAAGGTGAGGTGGGAAGTGAAGCTGTTCCTGTTAGGCAAGGAGATGAGAGCTGGGAGTTACAGATGAAAGGGGAGAGTAGGACTGGAAGTCACTGAATTAAATTTCAGAAGTTAAATGATAGAAATTCTGATACAAGAAAAGAGTAGGAGTAGAAAGTGATTAGACAAGGATAGTAGGGAGAATACCATTTGGAGGTGAATGAAGGAAAAGAGAAGAACAATGTATAACACGCAAGGCTATGGGAGAGATTGGACAAAGGCTGGGATAAGGATCTAGAAAGAAGGTAAGCAAAGTACAGCTAGGAAGAAGAGAGAGAAACTGAACACAAAACATTATCATATGAAGGCTGTAAAGTCAAAGACCCAACACCTATAGAAATGCTGAGCCTAGGAATTAACATGTACCTTATGATGCTGTCCTTGTTCATACAACCACAAAAGAATAGCGCATTGAACACTGTGGGGATTCACAAGTTGTTCATCAACAGTTGCTCCCTGCAGTCTGTGAGACAGATGTCCTGTGCATGTGAATTTTAGAAAACCTGAATTCTGGGATTTCCTAAACCACGAATACCTGAATTGTCTAATTTGTTATTTTCTGTTATCTTTGGGGATGCCATGTTCGTATACTATGACCCCACTGCTTGTTTTTATATGGATGGTCATCTTATTGTGCAGCACCTGCTGAGACCCTGTTGTGCCTCATACTGATCATAAACTGAAGGTGGCACGCACTAATGTATATGTGCAATGTTAGCACTACTAACTGTATATTTTAGTTAAAACCAACTTCTTTTCGTACTTACAGAAGTGCTTAGCGTTCAATCCAGCCAAGAGAATATCTACCTATGTTGCCCTCTCTCACCCATATTTCCACGATCTGGAGAAATGCAAGGAGAATCTGGACTCTCACATGTCATCCAGCCAAAACTCCAGCGAGGTGAATGCATCATAATGCTGACTGAAGACGAATCATAAATGAACAAGGCATCTAGCTGACAAGGCCGCTGTCCCATGCAAACCACATAGCTGTTCTAGCGAAGACCATTATTTGGAGGTTTTACGCACTTATCTTCTACTTTGGGATTGTGATGTGCTTATCCAAGGAAATCAATGTAGTTTACTTTCATCAGAGCAACGCAAGGGCCAGGGCTTTGACCTGCTCCCGTTGCAGCTTTATGTTTGTTTTGGTTTTGTTTTGTTTATCTACCTGGGAAAACTCCAGAGGAAGAGAAGCTGCTGACCAGTTTTGCTGCCATTTTATCCTTTTAATATTGAATGCTGCCAGTGTGGAGTAGGATGATCGAGTTACTGCCAAAACACGATGCAATCTCTCTCTCTAGCTGCTGAAGCATGATTTGGTACTTTTTAAATTATTATTATGTGATCTCTTACAATGATATTTAAAGAATGGCATTGAAATATCAGATCTCTGCAACCTGCAGTTAACTGATAGGTGCATTAATATATCCAGCTACTGTTCATTCATAGCATATATGCAGGTGCTTCCCCACTTGAAAACTTGGATGGATTATTTTATCATTTCATTGCTCTATAAAAATGACAGTGATGATGGTGATCATAATAAATGTCTCAACTTTTAATTGTTTTCGTACACAAACGAGTTATTATCTAGCTACGTTTGTGTGCATGTTGGAAAAAACAAGTGTTTTAAAAAACTTCTAGAAACTTCGGAAAGACTCTTTCCATTTCCAAATGGTCGGTTTGTGTTGAAATCCAGGCACATTCTAGCCCGTCATCTAACCCATCGTTCCCTCTGGAAACAGCTGCGAGGACATTTTCTTTATCTCTTTCCAAATTTTCTGATATGCAGCTCAAAGACATGAGCAGAGTCAATGAAAATCAATGCAGATTTTCTCCTTCAACCTGTTCTGATTATCAGCCAAAAAGGAAAACAGAAAAAGTGTTTCCAGATCAGAAGCAGAGAATCCCGTACCTGTAATAAGCACAGATATGTATTTGTGCTGAACTGTGTGCTGTATACTGCGCTGCCTTACCTGCAACACGCCCCCATGCATCACAAGTGCATGAACGTTACTGTCACAAAATCCCTCAGATGTCGTTTATTGAGCAGACATGTTTTCTATGCAGAAATGCATGAGCTTCTCTCCTAAACCACCATGTGGGTATACTGGCACATGCTAGGGTTAATGTGCCATTATTGAATGTCAAAATAACTAAGCAATTCACATGCCTTTATAGCACAGTTATTTTAAATATTACATTAAAATTTTATATTTAGTATTTTTACCTTAACTAAAATATATTTTCAGTATTTTAAAAGAAGCTTTTATTTTTATAATACTGTACTGGGAAAAAAAGAAATATTTAAAATCCATAAAAGCTGTTCCCTAGCATGACTTGTAGTACATTTACCTGGATATGACTTGGGGGAAAATACTGGTCCAACAAGTTAGCCCTTACCATAAAACCATAAATATACACTATTGCAGTATAACTGATGATAAGTGAGGCAGCTAGCTTTGCTTACTCCTGTGATAGTCCCTTAGGCTTCTCTCTTCCTCATCTCTATGTCATCTTGTCTAGCTAGCGAGCGAGCATTATATCCTCATTCACAGCATGCTTGGCAGAAGCAGGTCCTTAGCAGTGAGTCGAGCAATGCAACTTTTCCCACTGTGGCACGGGAACTTGTAGCCATCACCCTGGCAAGTTTCTCAGTCGCGTGATAGACTGGCTGCTGCGGTGAACTGCACTGTTAACTCTGTTTTGGGTATCTGCACTGTCTGGGACACGGCCCATTACTAAGGATAGTGAGTGGATCTTAGCAGTCTCTTAGATAAAGCTTTTTGTTACTGTTCGACACGTAACTATGCGACATATGGTTAAATTAGGTCTGTTTTAAATAAGCCAGATTTTAAAAGGACCACTTGCATGCATGCATGCAGTGGCCTGTGCTTTTCTTCATGCCCAGAATGATGCCTATGCAAAACCTACCAGCATGAACAGGCAAGTTGCGAATTAGGCCTGGCAAGAGCATGCACGAGGCATCTGCACACAGATACTACAGATGCACAACACAAGAATTTTGGGAGCTCTGCGAATGGCAAGCTGAAGGCCAGGGAGCGGTCATGGCAGCTAACCCTCTAGTCTTGGCCTCGCCTCTGTCATTCTCTCTGTTCCTACATCCAAGGGGAACTGGGAACCCACTGCACTGGTGTTGTCCCAGCCCTATTCTTCATGGGTCAATGGACCCAAGTGTAACTAGGTTTTAACATTCATAAAAAAGATGGGCCAGAGTAAAATTTTTGCTAACCATTTTTAAATGCTAATTAGAACCATGAACAGAGCCAAAATTCAGGAGAATCTTGCAACAGTAACAACTAGAAAAGTTTTCTACACAGTTTAGCAATTTTAACAACATTCTACGTTTTACCTAGTGCCAAGCTATCGTACATAACTTTATCAGGGCATTCAGTTGGTGTGGCTTTCCTGCAGCTGTCGGGGAACGCTCCCAGAGCTCTCTGACAACTAGCATAGGGGGAAAACGAAGGGAGGGAGGAGGGGGTGTTTTCAAATTAGGCTCGAAATTCTCAGATAGAGATGTACATCTGTTCCATGTCAGACGAGCTTCTTGTGTTAAGCTTAGTGGAGCAAAGCCTAGAGGAGAATACGATTGCTGAATGTAGGCACATTATTAGGGTAAAAAAAAAAGGAGGGAAGAGAACACTTTAAGCCAGAGTTTAGTGTTGGCCCAAAAACTAATGAGAATATGGAGATCACAAGGAAGTTAATTACTGGAGCAGTATTTCCCAAACTGTAGTATCAGAAGAAGAGCTCAGAGACAAGCAGAGAAAAGCAGGCGCTGGCTTATGAAATCAGAAGCAGAGCTTCTGCAACATGGTGCTGTATGTTGTCTAATATAGGATCAGGTTATAAATGGATGTGTTCAGGAGAACAGCTTGAGAAGAGCCACATCAGTGGTCATGTTCTGGAACACCCTTCCAGTGGGAATGGCAGGAATAAAAAATGAAATGCAAGTTCTGTCTTGGCAGGGTTAGGGAAAAGATTTCTCTAATGGGGTCCTTGTGGTAGCAAGGGCCTAGATTCAAAGGACCAATGACTTTTCAAATTACCTCCTCTTCAAAATCTCTTTAGGAAGAAATTCCATTTGACGTGCCATAGGCCTACTCTTATTCCAGTCTTCCCTGCCAAACCGGGGGGCTCAACTTGCACTAGTAAACTGAGAAAGCCTGTTCTCTGGCTGGGCAAAGTGCTGGCACGGGCTAAAATCACGCCAGAAAGCATGCTCATGGCTAGACAGTAGGGACAACTGTGGGACTGTGCTCGAGCCCATGCCCTTGCTCTTTTTATTTTACTGGTATAGTTCTAATATTTGAGTACCTTTACTCATTACTGCCATATGTGTAGGATGCAGGAATTGTATATGTAAAAAAGAAAGTGCTCCTTGACACACATGTTCCAGAGTGTGATGAAAACTCTTCATACATCCTTTAAATAAGACTTCAGAGTGCAATTCTTCTTAGCAATAACTATGCCTGTATGTGTTCTACAGGAGTGGTTCAACAGCAGCTAAAAACCACTGAGTAACAAAATAACAAAAAATATATGACACAGAAGTATAGATGTTTAGCTCCTAGCGCACCCACAGCCAGGCACTGTGCTCATCTCGGCACAGAACAGGGTGTTCTAAGTAATGGAAGGAGCAGTTTCTATCTCCCACCAGCTTGTTTTTTTAGCACTACTACATAATTCTGCAGGAAAAACAGACCTAACAGCCAAGGGAAAAAATCACCAAAGCCAGCTAGAGAAGTGCTAAGTGCTGAACCACAGCAATACATCTGGAGCAGCCCCTTTCTCTCTTCAGCCATGTCTCCACGCTCACTCTGGCTCTCCAGTTCTCCTTCAGCTCCCCTATGGAAACAGGTTTCAGTGACACTCACAGGTGCTATTTCCAATAAGTCTTCCAAATTTTCAATAGCTACACAGTGTCAGCTTCCCCTATGTCCCTGTTGCCAAGTGCTGCTTCTTTTAGTCCGGCAGCCCAGAACTGATGATTAAAAAATAAATCTCTTTGGGCACCTCCTTGCTTACTCTTAGTTTTGCATACACCTATGTTGCCATAAGTAAAATTCTAAAAATAGGGTTTGTGCTTATTTCTGTGTAGGCCGTGCCCACACTCCGGGTTTTTTTCAGCCTATTAGTCCGCAATGGTAAATGTTAGAGTACCTTTCTCTGTTGTTTCTGTCCTAAAACACACCAAAAAATAACGACGTCATGTTTGCAAAATATTGAAATGTGGTGCTATGTGTACAGAGCCTTTTACATGAAAGGAATCAGTAAGTTGTAGCATTTGAGCACCTTCTGCGTGGGGGATGGTATCCAGCATCATAACTCTTATGTCATTTTCACGCTCGATGGTTGTTTGGTAAGAAGAAAGTACTGTGCCATGCTACTTTTCAGAGGTTCACTCACTGTCTTTGAGAAGCGTGTTTTATTATACATATAATTGTCTCTGCTGTTAGGTATTAGTCCAGCTTTAAACAGAAAATAAAGATAAAACATGCTGGTTTGGTCTTTTAACCAGCAAACTTGGAGCACTTATCTGACTCACAACTGAAAACACATCAGTTGTCAAATATGTATATGAATCATAAACCACACAGTTTGGTTTAAAAGGCCACATAAATTAATTATGTTCCATGTTTAAGACACAGCTGAATAGCGAGGAAGCTTATTGTAAGAACTTTGTTTTATAGAACCACTTTGCTAGTATTTTTCATATACAGTAGCTTCAGGAATAGATTGATTTTTATATACAATGTGAATTAGAAGATAGGCTATTAGAGTGATTTTGTTGTGTTATGCTTGAAGCTTGAATGGATCATAAGCTTAGGAACCTAACATATTTATTTTATTCCTACAAAATTGCTTCTAAATATCAAGATCTTTTCTGATGTTAACAGGATTTCACACTTCTCTTAATGTGTAAATGGTTTTCTTGAAATTAGTATATTAGAAAAACACATTTTTCCAAACTGCAGTTGTGTGGGAAAATTTAAGAAATATATTTTTACTTTCACAGAGAATAATAACATGTTATATACTGAAATCTTCAGTAACTGACTGTTAATAAGCTATAGATTTACTTCTTTTTGATTACTAAGTATTGGAGTATACAGATTAGTTTTCATGAAGAAAAAATTCAGAAACAATCTTTAGAAAAGTAAGTGGGATTTTATATGTTTAACCTTCCAAGTTTAATTTTCATAGCCAGTTTTTTTGTGCAAGTACAGTTCAGGTGTGCAAAAACACAAGTACAATTTTAACAGTCTAACAGGCTGTGCAACTCAAATAGGAGTTTTATTTGTGAGCTATTTATTTTATCATATCTCTTTGTTTTGCAAATTGTTAGATAATGGCTGTAATATAATTCTAGTTCCTGAACCAGACTCTGTAAGCACCAAATCCCAGTAATTTATGTAAAACAATAAGAAGCTTTCTCACCGATTTAAATGAACTAGGCCATTAAAAAAAGAAAGATGTGGACATACGAACTGACAAATATACTTTTGCCAAGTGTTATTTCTTCCCTTTAGTTTGAAGCTTAGCAAGTATTGCATACTGATATGCAATATATACACAATATAAGAACCATTAA